AGTCACTGCCCCTGTGGCCTCTGCTTCCTGAGTGGTAAGACAAAGGGCTGCGTCCAGTTTGCACCCTCTCCTTCCTTCCCAAAGTAGATGATCCCGGACACCCAGACAGCATCCAAGGCTGAGACCTTACAGTAACCGATGCCGAAGGGTCGGGAAGCTGGAGTGCTCAGGTTCTTCAAATCCTAGCACAGGGCAATGTCAGGTTCAGGATATTTCTCTGGGAAGGAGACTGGAGAAGGGCTGAAGGTGATGGGGAGAAGCACATGCACATTTAGTGTCCCTGTCCCCATCCTCCCTTTTCATCCCCAGAGCCAAGAGGCTGATTCCTGCCCCACAGTACAGAAGAGGAAACTGAGGCTCAGAGGCGGCAGGTGACTTGCCCAAGGTCCTTCATGAGACGTGATTGAGCCTGGTCCTCAGGCCCCTTTGAATGCAGTCCCTCCTTGGGATGGGAGGACAATCCTCACTGCAAGGGTGAGATGAGAATACTGTCTATTGCAAGGGACAGAAACCTTTCCCAAACCTGCTTAAACAAAAAAAGGAAACCTACAACTCATTGGTAGGCGGATGACACCACCCTATGACAGAAAGCAAAGAGAAACTGAAGAGCCTCTTGATGAAGGTAAGAAGAGAGTGAAAAAGTTGGCTTAAAATTCAACATTCAAAGAACTAAGATCATGACATCCAGTCCCATCGCTTCATAGCAAACAGATGGGGAAACAATGGAAACAGTGACAGACTTTATTTTCTTAGGCTTCAAAATCACTGCAGATGGTGACTGCAGCCATGAAATTCAAAGATGCTTGCTCCTTGGAAGAAAACCAGTGACCAACCTAGACGTTGTATTAAAAAACACAGAGATTACTTTGCCGACAAAAGGTCCATAAAGCTTTGGTTTTTCCAGTCAAAGCTATGGTTTTTCTAGTAATCACGTATGGATGTGAGAGTTGGACCATAAAGAAGACTGAGTGCTGAAGAAATAATGCTTTTGCACCACAACTGTGGTGTTGAAGACTCTTGAGAGTCCCCGGGACTGCAAGGAGATCCAACCAGTCCATCCTAAAGGAAATCAATCCTGAATATTCATTGGAAGGACTGATGCTGAAGCTGAAATGCCAATACTTTGGCCACCTGCTGTGAAGAGCCAACTCATTAGAAAAGACCCTGATGCTGGGAAAGATTGAAGGCCGGACGAGAAAGGAACGACAGAGGATGAGTTGGTTGGATGACATCAGTGACTCAATGGACATGAGTTTGAGCAAGCTCTGGGAAATGGTGAAGGACAGGGAAGCCCAGCATGCTGCAGTCCATGGGGTCGCTGCAGTTATGGACACCACAACTCATTGATTCAGTCAGGATAGGCTGGATTACACTATGGTAACAATCAGCCTGCAAATCATAGCGGATTACAATAAAGGATTTATTTCTTGCTCACAGTCCATGTCCATCACAGGTGAAGCAGATGCTCTGCTCCACATCTCCCCACTCAAGGCCCGGGTCTGATGGAGGAGCCCCCATCTCAAACACCACTGGTCACTGAGCCACAGAGGAGCACTCTGAAGGACATCACAGCCGTCAGATCAATGTTCTGGTCCAGAAGTGAGGTTTATCACTTCTGCTCACAATCCATTGGCCAGTCCTGGTCATGTGGCACCATCTGACCACAAGGGGACAGGAGACCAAGAGCTGGAAGTAGTCGGTGAACAGTATGATGTCTACACTTAACGTACCTCAAAAAGCCCAGGGGGAGTGTAGTTTCAGGCATGGCCGGATCCAAGACCTTAAGAGGTACTGTCAGGAATATGGGTCCACTTCCCAGCTCTGCTTTCCAATGTGTTGGCCTCATCTCAGAGGGCTGTTCCCTCCCGGTTCTCCCCTCTAACCCACCCCCATCCCCAGCAGCTCTGGGTTTAGTCCACGCCTACAGCTGAGCAGGAAAGACACATGGACCAGCTTGGGTTACATGTCTGACCCTGAACCCTCACTGAGGCCAGGAGGATGGCATGCTCTCTGGGAGGGGCCTGGGTCACATGGCCGTTCCCAGAGCTGGGGTTCTACCCCCCCCCCCCATTGATGCTGACACAGGCTCAGGCACCCATGGGTGTTTCTGCCCTCCTGACCCAGGTGCCTTCCAGCAGAGCAAGGTGGGGAGAGTTTGGACTTGGGGTCAGGAGCCCAGAGTTCAAGCTCTGACTCTGACCTTTAATTCAGGGTGTGACCGCAGAAAGTCACCAGTCCCTTCTGCATCTTTACTTCATTTGTTGAATGGATATCCCGCCCCTGGGAGCCCGCAGGTGGAAAAGGGCTGGGCTGGGAGCAGTGGGTGGCATCCCCTGCCTCTAAAAACAGGGTTGTTAGTAACTGTATGGCCTGGACTCTGGGTGACAGGGGACCTCCGCCCCCACCCCTTCACCCCGTGTTTAAAGCTTGGTCACACCTCCAGGCCTTTGCTCAAGCTCTTCCCTCTGCCTGAGCAGCTGGTGTCCCTTAGAGCTTGTATTTATTTTTTCAGAGCCCAACAAATACCACCTCCTCCCGGAAGACCTCCCAGGGCCCTTCTGTTGCCTGTTCTGATCTCCCATCCAAGTGCTGCGGGTGCCTCAGAGCAGCTAGGAGTGTCGATTATAAACACGTCTTCCAATCCCGTGTTTAAAGCCATCGAGTTGGGAGCTTGAAATTGACCGTGATGAAATATTTACACCCTGGAAATAAGCAAGCACTGCAAATCAGGCTTTGCTGAGGGCTGCCTGTGTGCCTGATCGGGGGTGAAGCAGCAAACACAAGAGGCAAAGTTGCTGCCTTCCTGGAGTTTGTGTTTGATATTTCATCCTTGTCTCTAGCAGCTGTTCATCCATCCATCCATCCAACTGTTCTTCCTTCCAGCCTTGACCATCCTTCTACGCCTCCGTCCACCCACTAATGCACCCACTCGTCCATTGGTCATCCGTCCACCCCCCCTCCTGCTACTTCAGCCCCCCAGGTGGACCAGCTCCTGTCTCCCTTCTGCATCGACTTTTATGAGATGGGTCCCCTTTAAAGACCCAAAGTGTCGGTGGGGAGCCCTTTCTGGCCCAGGCCAGAGACCCATGCCCCTCCCCGACCCTGGCCTGCCATCAGCCGGGGTCGCAGGTGTCCCCTCCCCCCCCCCACACCTGGGCCCAGAGCTCTGGGTGCTGGAGAGCTGAGCTGCTTCCCCGGAGAGCCTGGGGCTCGTGGGGTGCCTGGAGCCCATGGTCTCCCTGAAGGTGTGAAAACCACAGCACACCTTGGCCCAAGTGTCTCCGGGGTGACGGCGGGGGGTGGGGAGGACTGCTCACACCTGCAGGAGCTGTGGTTTCACACTTGTGCTCCCTCCATCTGCACCTTGCACATCCTGATCCCAGTCCCACTATTAAGACCATCAATGTTCTAGAGCTTTCAAAACCAAGAAATCCCGTGTTCTCTCAGCGACTTCTCCCAACCACCGGCCCCCCCACCTTTTACAGAGAAGTCAGAGGAGCCATCGGCAGGATTGACAGGTCAGCCCCGTCCAAAAGCAGAGACAGGCCAGAGCTCAGGCACTGCCCTGCAGCCTGACTTTTGGGAAGGACCACGGGCCAGGCAGGGCCAGGCCGGGGCAGAGGGTCCGTTAGGACTCTGAGAACTGGTGGCTGAAACAGACTCCGCTATTTTAACTCTGCTCGGTGGCCTTGAAAAGCCTGCCTCTAAAGGTGAGCACCCTTAGGAGAAAAGTGATCTCTTTTCCCTTCTTTTTGTTTTGATTTTTATTTTTATCGGGCTCTAGAGAAGGGGATCGGAGAAGGCAATGGCATCCCACTCCAGTACTCTTGCCTGGAAAATCCCATGGATGGAGGAGCCTGGTGGGCTGCAGTCCATGGGGTCGCTAAGAGTCGGACACGACTGAGCGACTTCACTTTGACTTTTCACTTTCATGCACTGGAGAAGGCAATGGCAACCTACTCCAGTGTTCTTGCCTTGAGAGTCCCAGGGATGAGGGAGCCTGGTGGGCTGCCGTCTATGGGGTCGCACAGTCGGACATGACTGAAGCAACTTAGCAGCAGCAGCAGAGAAGGGGATGGGGAATACATATGCAAGTCATTTCCCACTAGGGAGATGTCCGTTCTGATTTTCCTGGGATCTTTTTTTCTTTTTTAAAGTAAGAATTGTTTGCAATGTGCAGCACCAATTTCCAGCTCCTGTGAAAAGCTGACGCTCAGTAAGTTGCCTTCAAAATGCCGCAAAGAAGTATTTTCTCAGCATCTTAATTTCACATTTCAGCAGGCTCTCTGACAAACCGTCAAGAACTTGACTTCCTCTAATTCCCCAGGATGAACAAATAAGATGCCAGGGACCAGGACCACCGTGTCCTTACTGCCTAGTCCAGTGGCCTTCCCCTCCCACCGTAAGTGCCAAGAGGAGGGTCCTCTCCCAGCATCCCAGCACCTGTGTGTAATCAATAAATATCTCATGGGTGCATAATGGGAACGACAAACGGGCAGCAGGAGCCCAAAAATGAAATCTTGGTTGCTGAGGGGCTGATTCTAAGAAACAAAGCTGGTTTTCAGCCCAGAAGCCCCCACCTGCCCCTCTGCAGGGTGGGACAGCCCGCAGTTACCTGGGTCGAGTCTGGTTTCTCAGCCCCACCCAACCTCCAGCACAGACTGTGGTCCTGGCTGCAGAAGAAAGGAAACAGATGTTTATTGAGGGTCTGGGCTGCACACCATATGTGGGCAAAACCTCTCTGATTTCTCCAGAGGGTAGGTCAGGACACCCACATGGTCCAGACAGGAAACTCCAGCCCAGAGATGAGAAGCAACTCGCAGAAGATGGCACAGCCAGGAGGTGTCAGAGTCAGGATTCAGAGCTACATCCATCGCTCGCTCCCCCAGTCTCCCCACCCCCCAACTTCCCGCCCCCAGGGTCTCTGTGGGCTCGCTTGGTCCCTTTTGCCGCCCCCTGCGAGGTGATGGGGAAGAGTGTGGACCTTGTGCGGCTGGCAGAGGCAGGACCGGGGGTGGGGGGCGGTGGGTGCTGGGCTTGTCTGCCCCAGGCAGGGCCCTGGTCCCAACACGTGACTGGCCTCTTGGCACGTGTCACGGGGGCCACCCCCACGTGCCTGGGAGGGAGGGAGGCTGTCTTCACGTGCACACAGGCATGTGCCGCTCACATTCATGCATATGGGGAAGTCACATCGGCACAGACACACACGTGGCATCACCACGGGCATGCTCCATATCCACCCAGGCACGCAGACCACACACACACACACACACACACACACACACACACACACGCACAGCCACGCCAGGGGGTCCCCGAACTCCAGATGCACGCTGTGAACACCAGGCGCAGGGGGCCCGTCGGGGAGACCAGGGCTGTAGGCCTCTTCACTCCACAGCCCCTGGGGACCCCGTCCGCGGCTCGTGGCTCAGGAGCATCGCTAGCTGGCCTGGGACCCTGGCGGCGTAGGCGGAGGGGCCGTGACCACCCACTGTCGGAGGTAGCTCCTGGGGGGTTCCTCGTCCCTGGGGCTGCTGAAGTCACTCCCCACCGGGCTGCCGCAGTCAGAGTCCGCGAAGCCGCTGTCAAATGTGTTCATGTCCAGGCCGACCGGGGGCGAGCCCGCCTCGCTGTCCGACGGCCCGGGTGTCCAATCTGCCTCATCCTCATGGGGCAGCCTTAGCCGGTCAAGGAGGCTGCCCGGCCTCACGGGGCCACTGGCTGAGACGCAGCCACAAGACAGGATCGTGGCCCCCGTGCTCAGGAGCGGGTCCTCGGTGCCCGGCCCCGGCTCCAGGCCGGTGTCCAGGTTCAGGGCAGGGTAGCCATCGTCCCCACAGGTGCAGGGCCAGGCACACAGCCCCTCCGCGTCCACCACGGTCACCGTGTCGATGGACACCAGGCCGTACAGCCGGTCCTTCTCCTGGCTGTAAACCGAGCTGCCCAAGCTGCCGGCGGTGGAGGGCACTGGGCCCCAGGAGCCCGGCTCAGGCACCCCATCGGCTTCCACCAGGTCTGCGGGCTCCGGCAGCTCCGTGGGCACCAGCCCCTTGGCTGCACCCTGCAGTGGGCACGGGCTGCACATCTCCAGGGCCAAGTGCACCCCTGGGCTCCAGGGTCTCAGCTCCAGGCTGGAGGCAGTGAAGGGTGTGCCCACCCATTTCTGCAAGAGAGGCAAGGAGCGAGAGTCATGGATGGGAGCAGGGACAAGGGTGCTCAGTCGCTGGATCGTGTCCGACTCTGCAACCCAACGGACTGCAGCCCACCAGGCCCCTCTGCCCATGAGATTCTCCAGCAAGAATACTGGAGTGCATTGCCATTTCCTCCTCCAGGGGATCTTTCCCACCCAGGGATTGAACCTGCAACTCTTGCATCCCCTGCATTGGCAGGTAGATTCCTTACCACTGGGCTATCTCTGAAGCCCAGGACAGGGGTGGGCTGTTTACGTATAAACAGACACAGAGACAAGATAGACAGTAAGAGAGACAGAAAGGAAGACTTCAGAATATAGAGAGATGGGGGTGGGGGAGATTAGCACCCCGCTGTGTCCCTGTCCAGAGATGGTCCCCCTTACTGTCCCTACGTCCCTGGGCCTCAGTTTCCCCACCAGTCGCAAGGAGCCATGGCTCTTGGCAGCCTACAGGCGCAGACGATCCACTGCTCATTGGCCTGGGGTCTGTGCGGGTGTGGGGCCAAGACTCCCCAGTCATGGGGACCAGAGAGCAGGAGGGCCTGAGGACTGAGTGTCAGCGCCCCCACCAGGCCTCCTGTTTTATTTTCTTTAGGGAGATATCTCCAAACCTTGCTGCTCCTGTTTATGTCCTTACGAGGGTGGACATGTGGCCAGGCAGAAGCCCCTCACTTCTTGGGTCACGGCTGTGTCCCCCAGAGGCTCACGCAGTGCCTGGCAGACAGTGGGCGCCCCAAAAATGTATATTAAGTAAATGAATGAGCGGAGTGAATCAAGGACCAGCCACTCAGAACGGATAAGGTGGTGGTGGGGGTTCAGTTGCTCGGTCGTGTCCAACTTTTTGTGACCCCATGGACCGTAGCCCGCCAGGCTCCTCTGTCCATGGGACTTCCCAGGCAAGAATACTGGAGAGGGTAGCCATTTCCTCCTCCAGGGGATCTCCCTGACCCAGGGATCAAACCTGCATCTCCTGATAAGGGCTGAGGGCAAAGATGCACTGAGGCAGCCAGCCTTTAGCCTTAAGGGTCTCCCTGCCCTTGCCTGCCGGGGGTTCCCCTCATGACACAGGTCTCCATCAAGTCAGCAGAGAACATCCCTGAGGACTGAAATCTCCCAGTTTTGAGCCTCCTTGGTCAGAAAACTCATCTCAGAACCCTGCTGAGGCCCACCACCCCTGATCCGAAGTCACTTCTCAGCTGTGTGGCCTTGAGCCAGTTCCTCGCCCACTAACAGTCCTCACTCCACAGAGTGGATGTGGGGTTAAACGATAAATTGAATAACATCTGTGGAGCTCCTAGCAGAGCACCCGGTGCACCAGCGAGGGCGATATGAGTCTTAGTAAAACAAACACAGAACAGACGTAAGAGCTGAACTTCAGGGTAAGTGCAGAGGAAAGAGGAAAGGTTGGTTGGACGTGGGCTGGAACCTAGGCCCGCCCCTGCCTGTCTCTGAGCCTGAGTCTCTGGGCTCCTCGGGTCTCCCTTGGGACAATGGAACCCCCACCACCCACTCGCAGGGGCTGCTACGAAGGTGAAAGGGCAGAGGCGAGACGGTGCTCCGTGATGGCCAGGCAGCCGGCAGGTCGCACCTCCTGACTTTCAGGCTTGGCTGCAGCAGGTTGTCTGCCCTGCGCGCCATCACCACATCCTCTCTGCGGTGGCTGCCGCCTCCGGGGGGGGTGGGTGGCGGTAAATGGGCACAGAGAACCCATGGGTGCTGGCAGCGGGGGTGGGGGCCCCATGTATTTTGCAGGTGGGGCCATTTCCTTCCCAGAAGCTGCTCCCTCCCCACCTCCAGAGCAAGGGTTTCTACGAAAGGACTGGGAGGCCAATCTGGGGCTCAAGGGACCACCTGGCTCACCCTCTGCCCCAGTCTGACTCCTTGGCCTGAGCAATGCTGCAGGATCTTGTTTAACACCCATGCCAACCCTGCTCCACGGGAAATCCTTCCTGCACTCTGTGGATGGAGAGACTGAAGCCACTTTGTGGATGGAGAGAATGAAGTCTGGCTCCGGGCTGGGCGGGGATCTGGGTGTCCCTGACCTACAGGGTGGGGCTGGGGGGGTTGAGGTGTGAGGGGAGACGCAAGCTCCCAGAAGGCAAGAGGCTCCAAGGGTCTCATCACAGGGTGGGGATGCTCACCTTGAAGTCTCCGCTGTGGCCCACGTACAGAGGCTGGAAGAAGGGCTTCGGGCTGGACACCTGCAGCCACACCTTTTCCCACGGCCTGGGAATGTAGAGACCAGGTGAGTCCCCCAGCATCTCCCAGAGGGCAGCTGGGCCTCCTGCTCAGCTGCACCCCAAATGTGTCCTGCGGGAGACTCAGCATCTCCAAGACACAACTCGGGCCCCTCCCTTCCGCCCCTCTGCCCCAGGCCTCAATTTTCACACCTGTAAAATGGGGCAGCGAGTCTCCTGAAGGTGAGAGTTAAAAGGCTGGACTGCCTACTGTGTGCTGAGCCAATACCGCCCTGCTCTGAGCCCCGACTTCCTCCCCTGCTCTCAATTCCACGGGGCTGTGAGGAGGAGTCAGGGAGTGGAGGCCCTGGGCACTCCAGCTCCTAGAGGTGTCCCCCAAATCCTGGCCCAGGCTGAATCCCTCCCTGCCTCCTTGTGCCCTGGCCTCACCTCCAAGGGACCTTCAGGCCAAAGAAGACCAAGATGAAGCAGACCGGGATGAGCAGGATGGGAACCAGCTGAAGGTACAGGTCTCCCTTTCTCTCTGGGAAGGAAGCGAACATGGGTGACATTGGCTGACCTTTACGAGAGGCCATGCGGGTGTGGGGGGGCACTGGGTCCAGGCTGGAGGGGAAGAGGGCGGGAAGGCTGCTGGTACCTCACAGTGGGAGGGACCTGGGTTCAACCCCCACCCTAGGCAAGTGATTTTAATCTCTTGGAGCCTCCCTTCTATCATCTGCAAAATGGGCACAATAATTCCCACTTCACAGATGTACTGGGGGGATCAAATGCCCTGCCTGGCACCCAATGCAGGGCCTGGCAAGCAGGGGCCCTAGAAATGCTGTGGAGTGGCAACAAGCAGGCGCAGGACTCAGTGGGTACCCTCCAGCCAGGCTCGGGGTGGCTGCACTAGGACAAGATCTAGTACAAGGAGTGGGTGTCCATTCATCCATCCCTGTTTCACATCTACCTTCCGGCTGGGTGTGAAAGACAACTGGGTCGCTCCACTCGCTCCAGGTCCCCTGGAAGGAGGAGCCAGGGTGGGGCCCTGCCCGCACCTGCAGCTCGTAGCTTGTGCCGTTGTGGAACTCCAAGGGGAGGAGAAGGATGCTTCTGGAATCCTCTGAGACCAGCTTTCTCCCTGGACTCTGTTGGCACAGGGAAAGGATGCACCTGAGTCATGAACCCCCAGTCCAGCCCCGCCCCCCAAGCAGAACCATCCTTCACCAGCCCCCACAAAAGGGGTGGAGTCTCTCCCACAAAGTCTCCGCCCCCTCCACAAGAATCAAGCCCCAGTGTGAGTTCTGGCCACTCCTGCCTGGACAGGACAGACCCATGGCCTCCTTAAGATATAGTGCTCTGTCCTGTTTCTCTCTGATCCAAGCTCATCCACTCACAGTCCTGGCAGGGGACCCTTCCTGGCTGGGCTTGGAAACATCCCAGGAGCAGCAGTGACCATTCCTGGGAATATTTAACTGGCAGCATTCCAGACCTTGGGCACTTCTGTAATTCTTCAACAGCAGGTATTTTCCATAGTGGGCATTTCTGGGCATCTGAAACTACAGGCATCTCAGCACCCAATGCCTTCAGAAGTCTTCCACTGGGGACAGTCTGAACAATGGCATTTATGAAAGTCTTCAACTGGGACCATTCTAAAGGATGGATAATTCTAGAACTCTTCAGCTGTGACTGTTCTAAACATCAGGCCATTCTGGAACTCTTCAACATTCTAAACAAAGAACACCTTCAGAAGCCTTCACGTTTGAAACAACAGTCCCTCTGAACTTCCTTGGTCATAGATGCTTCTGGAAGTCTCCAGCGGTGGCCATTCTAAGTATACAGGGACAGTTCTAGGCTGCCCCATTTCTGAACCTTCTCCTACTGTGACAGAACTAGACTTGAGATAGAACCAGGGATGGTGCTGATCCCTTCCTCTTTGGCACGCTGATAGAAGAGGACACAGGGGCAGGAAGGAAGGGATTTTAAGGGGTCTCCTACCCCGGGGAAAAATGAGACGAGGGCAGCATGGAGTGAGAGAGCGCCAGGGACAGCGTCCATCCCTGGCGAGTCCTTGGTTTCCGCTCTGGACCATGAATTACAGGCTCACCTGTGGCTGCCCTGCCTCCCGCCTGGATGCACTGCACAGCCCGGGCCCCAGCCCCCGGCCCCCTCCACCCAGTCCTCTGAGGGCCTCACCAGAGCCCAGGGTTCTCCAACCTTCCTGTACCGCAGCTCATACTGAAGTTTATCCTTCAGCGCGTAGACACGGTCCCTGGGAATGGAACTGGAACTGGAACTCCAAGAGACGTTATAATATCTGGAGAAGTTCACGGTCACGTTGAAAGGGGGAGATGGCTTGACTTACAGGAAAAAGCCAGAAAGAGAAAAATGGGATGAGATTTTGCAGCAACTGAGAAGGATGTGGTGATGGGAATAAATTCCCTTATGCCTGATCCATTCCTGATGAGAGGAAGACCAGTGACCCTGACTGACTTGGGGTGAAGCACCCTGTCTCTGGGCCTTAGTTTACTCACCTGAGAAATGGGAGATTTAGATGAGATTGGGTTGCAAACTCAACCCAACTGGGCAGGGAACAAGACAGATGACACAGATTCGGAGACCAAGCCCTCCCAGCCTCAAGGGAGATGCTACCCCTCAAGGGGGCAAGAATGCAGACCGGCGGTGGCCATGGGGGGAAAAAACCAAGACCCACAGGTTCTCCGTGTCTGTTCTAACTTTAGCTTCCTTGAGAAGTCAAGAGACTGTAATTAGCATCATGCTAATTAATTAGCACGAATTATGCTAATGATGGAAATTACCACCTCAGAGTGCCTGCGGGGCTGCTCTGCAGGAGCAGCTTGATGCCCGAAGGGGCCCTGGGGATGTGATGTGCATGCTGTCATCTGGACATTTTCTGGAAAGTGTAGGAGCAGAGATCTGAGTCACCACCCCACGCCCTCTAGGCCTCTGTGATCCTGCTTGCCACCCGCCCCTGTCTCGGGGAATCTTAGCTCCTTGAGACAGAGGTTTTGTCCTCCCGTCAATGCCGGGTCCACAGCTCCTAGGACAGAGCTGGTGCACAGTAGACTCTCAAAAGATGCTTGTGAAACCAATGAGCATCCCCGCTAGGGATTTCAAACAGCAACTCTGAAGCTCTGACCACCACAAACTGTCACGGGGGAAGGCAGGTGCTCAGGAGGTGGTGGGGGGTGGGGGGAGTTTCATTGTCCCCTGGGACTGGAAATGCTTCCAGGCCCTCTCCTCTTTTCCCCAGGCCAATGGAGGCCTGCTTTTCCACTTTCTGGTATGTCCTGGGCTGGGTGGTATGGACCAGAGCCCCAGATCAGGGATGGGGTCAAGGATAGGGGTCCAGGGCCCAGGAGGAGAAAGGGGCCTGGGGGTGGGGGAGAACACTGCCCCCTGCCAAATCTGGGCACAGGCCTGGCTTCAGACCCTGGCAGGGAGGGGGAGGCAGGGCCAGAGGGAAAAGTTACTTGGAGCCCCGCTGTGAGGTGGGGGGGGGGCAGTGGGGCAGTCCCTTCTCCTTTGCAGGGGCAAGGGGAGGCTTGCTGTCTGCCCAGCTATCTCAGAGGGGCAGGAGGGCACCCCTGCTCTGTGAACGAGCCACGCTTGGGTCTGCGTGGCTGAGAGAGCGTGCGGGCACCTGTGCCCATGTAGGAGCGAGCATGTGGGCAGGTGTCCGGGCTGGATAGGCCGAGGGTAGGTGGGACACCCCTGCGTGTGTTCAAGGGTGTATTTATGAATGTGTGTATGTGAGAGAGACTCTGGGTGTGTCTGGGTGTGTGTGAAGCTTTGTTCACACCTTGTGTGGGGTGACACCCACAGTGAAATGATCCAAGCCTGGACCCCCAGGGTGTGAATGACAGACACCTTCTCACCCCGCACCCCGCCCCACCGTTGGGGATCCAGGGCCAGAAACTCCCAAACCGCAGAGGCCGGGCCTTCCCAAGGAAGGCAGGACTCTCTTAGCAGTCTGTGTTTGCATGCCTCTGGACATGGGACTCTTACCCTCTCTCCCTGGAAATCTCACTTCGGACACACCAGGACCCAACCTGGTTCTGGACCCAGAGAGACAACTGCTTCCACCAGCTGGGCCCCTTCTGCCTGTGGACTCCCGCCTACCCCCAGCCTGGAGGGAGATGCTGGGGCTCACAGAGCCAATGAATGGGAGAAAACTCAGTGAGGTTTTTCTCTTGGGACACAATGTCCCCCATAATCTGAACAGAATCCCTAAGAGTCAGGGTTCAAAGGACCTTCACTCTATAAATAGGGAAGCAGTCCAAGGTGACAGACAGGTAGGGGCTGAACCAGAACTGGAGGCCAAGGTCCTGGGTCCCAGTCCAACTCGTATCCATAGCCCTGCTGCCTCTCTTTGGTTAAGACTCAAACCTACTGATCGACCCATCACACTATAGCAAAAAGAACTTGAAGGAGAGGGAAGAACATGAGACAGGTTGGCCTTGAGGGTGGGCCTGGGGTTCCAGCTCAGTGACCATGCATTCTCCTAAGCGCTGGGGTCTGAGAGATACTCACTATTCGCAGCCAGCAAAAAGCTACCGCACTCCTGGGAATAGTTGCCAGATGGGTCTGTCATGCTCACGTTGAAGAAGTCGTCAGCCATGAGGCGGAACACATTCATGTGGCACGTGTACTCCGCATGGGTGGCATTGTGGGTGGACCGGAGGAGGCTGCAGGAGGTGACCTCATCCTCCAGTTCTTCATATGTGTCATGCCTTCAAAGACAGAGCAGCGAGTCATGGCTGGAGGCCAGCAGGGCTCAGGGCTCAGGGTCAGGGCCCAAGCCCAGAATCTTGGGGCTGGGAGGGATTTGAGGTGGGGCTGGGGGGTTACTTGGTCCAGCTGTTCCTTTCCCAGGGAAGATATTCCTTCCCTGAAGCAGCCCTGATGGACTGTGTCCAGGCCTGACTTAGATGCCTCCAGGGGACCAGGAACTCACTACCTCACTTAAGAGCAGGCATGCATACGTGCTCAGTCATTTCTGTTGTGTCCGACTCTGCGACCCTATGGACTGGAGACTGCCAGGCTCTCCTGCCCATGGGATTCTCCAGGCCAGAATACTGGAGTGGGTTTCCAGGCCCTCCTCCAGGGGATCTTCCCGACCCAGGGATCAAACCCGTGTCTCCTGCGTTGGCAGGTAGATTCTTTATCATTGAGCCACTGGGAAAGCCCCATTTGAGAGCAGTAGCTTTTAACTTTGGAAATTTGGGTCATTCTTTCCTGGACTGAGCCTAAATATATCCCTGTGAGTTCCATCAACTGGACCACTGTCGTAGAGGAAGGAAGTTAAGCATTTCAAGTCTCCCTGTTGCCCGCTTTCTGTCCCACATCCGATGCGTACCTAACAAGTGCTGTCCTCAGGGCCAAGATAAGAGCCAATTAAACTTTACCCTCTGCTTTGGGTGGCCTTCCAGGAACGCTGTTGGTATAAAGTTAGGGGGAAATGCTCTGGGTTTTTAACTGCCAGTGAGCAGAAACAGTGGGTTTTGAAGTATACAGAGGAGTTCACCAGATATCTATTCCCCTACCTACCACTTCAGGCTATGAACATGACCACCCTCCAGGGCTAATATGGAGGCATGGACTCAGTTCTCTGCCAAGTATTTGCTGGAATAGAAACTTCTGCTGAAAAAAAAGGGGGGGGGGTCTCCAAGACTCTTAGGCTGCATCCAGGGGGACCTTTAAAAATTCCCTGTCACCTCCATGCCTAAAATCCTCAGGAAGCTTCTCACCACCCACACAATAAAAGCTGGCCCCCGCCTACCTCTCCCCTCCTTCCCTGGTGATTCTCCCTCACCCTGGCTCACTCTGCTCCAGCCACACTGACCTCCTCCCTATTCCTCAAACTTACCAGGCTGTCCCCACCTCAGGACCTTTGCACATGTACTACCCTCTGCCTGGAATGCCCTCTCCCCAGCTCCCTGACTACCTCCTTCTCACCCAGAGAGGCCTAGCTAGACCACCCTGGCTAAAGCGCTCTCCCCCACCATGTTGCTGACTCTCTACTCCAGGGTCAAGATGCCTGGGCTTTAAAGTACTCAGTCTCAGAAGGTATCCTGTTGGCTGTTTATGTGTTTATTGTCTGTCTTCCCTGCAGTGTCTCAGCTACAGGGCAGCTGGGACTTTGTCAGTCTTGGGCTCTACTGAGCCCCCAGTGCCTGCGAATGTCTGGCAAGACCTTAATAAATATGTTCGAAGAAGTAAGTGAATGAATGAATGAATTGGTGATGACAGAATGAAAGCCACCTGTTTTCTATCCTGAGCAGTATATTGACAAAGACTCTCCTTGACCAGGCTCAGCTCAGGCTCCTTGGAACTCTCTCCTCAACTAGGGGCTGACTTTGGGGCACTGGCTAATTTCAGCAAGAATCCTGCTAAGTCAGCTTAGCCAGAATCGTCCATCCTTCATAACTGGTCAATTTCTTCATCCTCCGCCATTGCCCAGGTGATGTCTGATCACATTGCGCTGCCATCAGTTTAGGTCAGTTTATCTGGGAGCCCAATGACCCCTGATGTTTCCTCTTAGTGTTTTTCCATCCACTGCCCTTCTTGGCTACAGATTCCCAGTTTTCCTTGCAGAATTCTGAGTCCAGTCTCTTTTCCCCACACCAAAACCCCCAGCCCCTACACCTATCACACTGGTCTTGAATAAAATCTGCCTTGGGACCTCCTTGGTGGTCCAGTGGTTAATAATCTTCCTTCCAGGGCAGGGGGCGTGAGTTCGATCCCTGCTCCGGGAACTAAGTTGCCATGGGGCAACTGAGCCCATGCACTGCAACTAGAGAGAAGCCCATGCATCACAACGAAGAACCAGCACAGCCAAAATTTTTTTTTAATCTAAACATAAATAAATAAATAAAATAAAAGCATGACCCCCTCATTCTGTTTTAAAAAATAAAGTGAAAAAAAAATACACCTTACCATTCTTTAACAAATGCAATGAACAATGTTTTCTTTAGCATTATGCACTAATAGGGACCGATGGATCTTGGAGTCAGACTGCCTATGTTTGAATCTCAGCTCCACCATTCACTGGCTGTGTGACCTTGGGCAAACTGCTTAACCTCTCTGAACCCTAGTGTCCTCATTTGTAAAATGGGAGTGACAATTGTGAGAATCAGAAGTGATCATTCATGTGAAGCACAGCAGGATGTTCGGCAGGTATTCAGTGTTCAAGACAGTCGTGGGAGTCTGGTCATCCTGAAGTCTCAAAACCACAGTCAGGCCTGTGTGGGCAAGAGAGTATGGTCTCTGTAGCCCTACTTACTGGACGAGTCTCAGGAGCCCTGTGTGAACATCTGTAGGATGGGCAGACTGATTCCCAGACCACAGGCAGCGATTCTCAGCTCATGGTCCCAGATCATGGTTCTCAGCCCACAGTGAAACCAAGCGCTATTGGTGAAAGGGCTGAGTGAACCCCCATGAAGTGGCAGATATTTTTAAATTGCTTAACTACCTGCTAGGAGGGCTTCACTGGTGGCTCAGTGGTAAAGAATCTGCCTGCCAATGCAGGAGGTGTGTGTTCGATCCCTGGGCTGGGAAGATCCCCTGGAGAAGGAAATGGCAACCCACTCCAATATTCTTGCCTAGGAGATCCAGACCAAGGAGACCGGTGGGCGACAGTCCACGGGATCGCAAAAAAGTCAGACACAGAGACTACAGAACAACAAAACCTGCCAGGCACCCAGTCGGTCCAATTCAACCCGAGGTCTCTGGTGGTCCTGCCTCATCCCAGCCCTCCAGGGCTACCCTGAATAGCATCTGCACGGCTGGTGAGGCCCGGCCACTTACCAGGTGAGGGTGAGCGAGTCAGGGTGCCCGGCCCATGTCTCCAGGATGCAGGTGATAGTCTCCATGTAATCGGTGTAGCAGATGAGGTTGGAGCAGCCCCAGGCTGGAAGGTCAGGGGAGACAGAGGCTTTGGTGGGGGGGTTAGGCGGGGGCTGCAGGGCTCACCACCCCCTAACCCCCCCTTGAGAGCTGGATGGTGAAGGGAAGCAGTGGTCCCTAGGCCATGATGAATATGATGATTCAAGGGCAACTGAGATGAAGGACTGGGGCAAGGGGGGGTTCTTGCCACCTGAGAATTCTGTTTTTGAGCCTCCCAAAATTTTGAGGCTGGCTGTGAGGATGAGATTCCTAAACTAAGCAGGTCCCTCCCCGCCCCCCGGGCTCTCTCCACAAGCCCCATGTCCAGACACCAGCTCATCATCCCTCCTGGCCAGCCATCCTCTCAAGGTGGCACATCCTGAACGCCCAAGATGCCAGATGAATCTGCACATCCCACGAGAGGGATTCATGCAGCCAACGAGAGACAAAGAGGAGCCTTCTATTCCCTTGCAGTTGGTCTCAGACAGGTCAAAGACCTCGATGACCTGGAAGTGCACTGAGGGAGCAAGAAGGCTTCAGAAAATGAGAAGCCCTTGAATATATTTGCCAAAATGTATGTATCCTACTACACAAAGCACCACCACCAAGGTGGCACAGGTCTGGCCCTCTCAGGCAATTTTTTTGGAAGATTTCATACTCTCCCACCTCCAATGTCAATTGCTTCACTTTGGTTCTAAAAACTTGGGTCCAACCACAATTCAAATTTTGGTAAATGCTTGACAAAATCCACTTAAGTTTTAGTTCGGTTTTGTTTTGTAAGATCAAGTGCCAACACTACTATTCCCCCACCCCCACATCCCTACTATTTACCAGAAGTCTGTTCCCCTTTTAAGTGGATTCATTCTTAGTGGCTTTTCCCTATTTTTCCTTGACTAATGAAGATCCAGAGGATGGGAGTACATTCCTCCCAGGGCTCCGTCTAGCTCAGAAGCTGGTTTCGGGGCCAAGAACATTGTTGCTGGAAACAGCTTTTATTTCTAATCCCACCACTATTTTATGGTCTTCCGTGGTAGCTCAGCTGGTAAAGAATCTGCCTGCAGTGAGGGAGACCTGGGTTCGATCCCTGGGATGGGAAGATCCCCTGGAGAAAGGAAAGGCTACCCACTCCAGTATTCTGGCCCGGAGAATTCCACGGACTGTATAGTCCATGGGGTGGCAAAGAGTCGGACACGACTGAGCGACTTTCACTCTCCTTTCCGCCATTTTACAGATGAGAATACTGAAGCTCTGAGATTGGGCCATGCCTCCTGTCTCTCTCTTTGGTCTGATGAAACCCAGGAAAGGCAGAAGCTAGTCTCTGCTGGTCCTTTACATCTGCACACATGGCAGACATTGCTAATCAATCACAGCACTCTCCAGTGGGTGTGGCCTCAGAATCCTCCGCACAGTTGAGAAGGCTTCCGGCAGACATTAGCAAGGGATCTGAGATGTGGAAACCAATCCTATTCTAGGAGGAGGCGTCCTTTGCAGAGGAACACAGGCCCTGTTGGTGGGCACAGAAAGGCGAGTTCAGATAATTTGTGGAGAAAACAGGACAGATTTGGGCAGGACCCAAACCCATGTGGCCGTGTCCTCTCTGGGTTTGTATCCTGGTTATTCCCTCTCAGGGCTCCAGCGCTTGGAGGGGAGCTGCCATTCCTGGGTAAGCTGGAGGCCACCAAGGGACGGCTACTGTTGTTCAGCCACTAAATCACGTCAAACTCTTTTGCGATCCCGTGGACTGTATAGCCCTCCAGTTTCTCTGACCATGGGATTTCCCAGGCAAGAATACTGGAGTGGGTTGCCATTTCCTCCTCCAGGGGATCCTCCCGACCCAGGGGTCGAACCTGCGTCTCCTGCATTGGCNAGTTTCTCTGACCATGGGATTTCCCAGGCAAGAATACTGGAGTGGGTTGCCATTTCCTCCTCCAGGGGATCCTCCCGACCCAGGGGTCGAACCTGCGTCTCCTGCATTGGCAGGCAGGTTCTTTACCAACCTGGGAAGCCCTTACCACGGGACAGTGAGTGAAGTTGCTCAGTCGTGTCTGACTCTTTGCCACCCCATGGACTGTAGCCTACCACACTGCTCCATCCATGGGATTTTCCAGGCAAGAGTACTGGAGTGGGTTGCCACTGAGTGTCTCAAACTTGGAATGAAACACTGAGGAGGGGAAAGCAGTCCCAGAAACTAGCATGGAGGTGGCATCAGGGACCAGAAGGAGTAAAAACCCAATTCCCTGGTCAGTACCCTGAGCCCTGGGCAGAGAGCCCCAGGGCCACTCTCCCTCCACCCCCACCCCCACCCCACAGGGTTATCACAGCATGTGGGAGGCAGTGGGGACCACGAAAAGTGGACACGTGACGTGGACACGTGACTCACGACACCTCCAAGTCCCTGTTAGTAATCTGGGGACACTGGCTCCTTGAGGGGGGGTGTGTGTGTGTGGAGGTATTTAGATGCTATCATGATGGGGCAGCCCACGCCGCCTGCATGAGGCATTCAGCCAGTAAAAGCAGTTAAGATCATGGGAATCGGCAGATTTGGGAACCGATCCCAGCTCCGCAACTGCCTGCCTGTGTGGCCATGGACCTGCCCCCGCCCCGTCTCTAAGCCTTAGCTTCCTCAGCTGAGGACTGGGCATCAGGGCCGCAGGAACTTCACGGGCTGCTCAGCGGCGCCTGGGACACAGCAGGGGCTTGGAACTTATGCCTGCGGGGTGGGGAGCGGCAGCGGGTGACCTAAAGGCCCTTTAGAGCCAGGACTGCTGACCACTCAGAAAGGAATAACAAAGGAGTCTGACATCTGTTTCCTGACGGAGCTATTTGAAGCTCTGGGTCTTTCGGTAAAAACCGGAGAGAAATGCCCATGAGTCAGCAGAGCCACGGCAGAGGGCACTCCCGCCCTGCCCCCAGTCCAGCCCCTATTTGAGCCTGTGTGCTGTGTCCCGCCTCCTCCAGCCAGGCTTCCTGGATCTCTCAGCCCCAACTCTGCCCCCAAGTCTAACTCCTAGCCTCTCCCAGCTCAGTGCTTAACATCTCTGGGGAATATCAGTGCCAGCAGTGGACCCAGGGATTGTTGAAAACCATCTCCTAGGAGATGAGGAGAAACTGAGGTTAGACCACAGGCAGGACTTCCTCCCTCCAAGAATTGGGAGCTGGCCAAGGCAGAGAGCCATGGAGATGAAGGATGAAGTCTCTCATCCTCCCCCCCAACTCAGCCTCCGCAGTCAGTGAGACCTGGAGACCCAGGACGGTGGGCTGGACCACGTGGGACTTGCATGAACCCCTTCTAGATGGTGGAACTCTCTGGTTGGATGGGTTCTGGTTGATGTAGAGAGGGCTACTGCACCCGTGTCAGCTGTAAGTGGAAGGATGCTACAGGCTCCGACCCTCTAGCCCTGCCCTGCAGCCTACAAAGTCAGCGTGGCCGCTCCCTACCTGCAGAACTCGGGGCAGCTACTTACCTCCCTGGAGCATTAGCAGGAGCAAAGTCGCAGCCCAGGCAGTCGGCATGCTGCCTCCCGGAGCCTGGAAGAGACACACAGTGAGAGGGTGAGCCTGGGGTCCAGAGACCGTGGGACCCTGGACCGCCCCACTCTGGTCCGCATCCCTCCTTTGGAAGACTTGCCTCTGAGTTTCTTGGATTTGTTTATGAAAAAAAACAACAACAAGTGTTTGAGGAGCCCGTGGCTGCTCCCACGGGTTCCTGTCCTTTAGAAGTGGCCGATCTGCACCCCCAGGGTCCCTCCCCACTTCTCCCCCGCCTTCTTCCTGGGCACCCAGCACAGTCACAAGTGAGAGGGGGATGGAAAGGGGGAGGAGCTCGCTATCCGATAAACCTGTTGCTGTAGCATGATGTGTCTGTTTATCCATATAGATAAGAAAGGGGAAAGTGGCTTGGAAAGTTGTATTTGATAAGCATCGATATTTCCTTCCCATGAAACCCCCATGTTGATGTTAGCCCAATTACTTGGCTTCTTGTTGCTCTTGTTCAGTTGTGTCTGACTCTTTGCAACCCCATGGACTGCAGCACATCAGGTTTCCCTGAATTGGCTTCTCATTGAATAACAAATCCAAGACTAGACCACAAAGGAGACCACTACCTAATGCTAAGATAAGCTTAGCGAGATAACTCAACCACAGAGCCTGCCTGGGTGAGCCCCCCCAGGAAGCACCAGGGAACTCAGCCTGAGCGCATGCAGGCGCCGTGGACTCCCTGATCTGCGTGAGATGGAGAAGAGATCTCTTTGGAGACCCGAGTCAGCCTGTCCAGGAAAAGCAGGCTTTGGTACCCTGGGCAGAGGAACAACTCACCAGGCTGGCACTTTGCCAGCTGCACCCTCAGTTCTGTGTCTGCGTGGGAAGGTATCAGTCAGAGCCTGCTTATATGGCTTGCAGGATCTTATTTCCCTGACCAGGGATTGACCCAGGGCTCATAGCAGGGAAAGCATCAAGTCCTAACTACTGGCCCACCAGGGAGTTCCCTCCCCAACACACTTTAAAATGAATAACATCACTGTTAAAATAAAATAATGTTGGCACAGATAGTATTTAAATCTGCCTTAAGGAGCTCTGCTCGTTCCTGGCTCCACACCCTGGAGTCTCATCATCACGCTTTAGGGATCTGACTTCCCGTTAGAGAAGATGGAGTGTGTGTCTGCCCTTCATTGGTGTATCCACATCTCTGACTCCAGCCTCAGCATAGGGCCTGGCATGGTTCTGTCCACATTGCTCCCAGCGGCTCCATCTGGGGCCAGAGGAAAAAGCACAAGAGCCTTTGCCAGTTTCAAGGTCCCTCATTCCTCAGCTTTGCACCAATGACAAACAAGCCCCCGGGGAAGGAGGGGATGTTTCTGCTGCTTCTGTCTTCTGGGCATCTCTTCTCCTTTTACGAACAGCCCCTCAAACTGAAGCTGACTTGAACCAGGGTGTGCACCCAATCCAGCCCTGACCAGGAAAGTACTCCACCCACCTGGTCAAGTGAAGGGATCAGACACAGAAACCAACCCAGGCAAGACCAATGAGAGCGATCTTGGAATTTCTTCTAGAACTCTATTAAGAGGTAATCTTTTGGGAGCCTGCTAGAAGCTGGTAGCTATCTTTGTCATCTCTTGATGGTGGTGGTTTAGTCGCTAAGGCATGTCTGACTCTCGCGACCCCATGGGCTGTAGCCTGCCAGGCTCCTCTGTCTATGGAATTTTCCAGGTCAAGAATACTGGAGTGGGTTGCCATTGCTTTCTCCATTGTCATCTCTTAAAGAAATGTCAATCCTGAAAAATACAGATCCAGAGTCCCCATGGCAGCACTTGAGGGCCTGGATCCAGCTATACCTGATGTCCACACCTGGATTTGACATACACCAAAACCCCCCACCTATTTGGCAGAATTATTTTTCTGTGGCTTGCCATCTAAGATACCTGAAACAGTGCAACAGAACACAGAGCCCCAAATTTGTGGCCAGAGCATCTTGGAGCAAATAATAGCTCTTCTCTGGCTTTTCTAGCTCTCTGACCTCAGTTATCATCTCTAAACTGGGGACAGGAATGCACATGGCACCTGGCAGTTAAGAAGAGTCTGTGGGAAAGCAGAGGCGGCACTGCTCTGTGAACTGTAAAGTGCTGTCCAAGGGGGCTGGATTCTTGCTGTTACTGGCCAGTTGCTCTGAATTGCTCAGCAGTCCCCAGCATCCCAGGCCCCTTCATGCCTCCCTGCCTTTGCATGAGACAAGTTCCTGAGATGAATCTGCTTTTTAGACACCTCCCCCTCCCCCATGCCCCCGCCCCACTCAGTCTTCAGGGCCCACCTGCTCTGTCCCTGCATCCATGAAGCTATGCTGGAATGTTCTAGAACTCCTGCCGCTTACTGCCTTCAAGGGTCTCACCAGTGCTGTGAGCTACTTGCTGTTTCTCTTTACCTGACCTCACATCTCAAAATGGAAAATCAGACCATCAGTAGGTACATGCATGCATGCTCATTTGCTTCAGCTGTGTCCAAGTCTTTGCGATCCTAGGGACTGTAGCCTGCCAGGCTCCTCTGTCTGTGGGATTCTCCAGGGAAGAATACGAGAGTGGGTTGTGGTGCCCTCCTCCAGAGGATCTTCCCAACCCAGGGATCGAACCCATGTCTTCTGCATTGCAGGCGGATTCTTTACCACTGAGACATCAGGGAAGCCCTCCTTCAACAGGTGACTAGTATGAAATGGAGAGGCAGTATGCACCACAGTGGTTAAAACACAGACTTGGGGCCAGCCTGCCTCAGTTTAAATCTCAGCACTGCCATTTATATACTGTGTGACCTCAGGGAGTTTACTTAACCTTTATGGGCCTCTGAGTCCTCATTTGTAAAATAGAGATATTAATAACCTACATCATAGAGTTCTTGGGAGAATTGTCAGTGTTTTTAAAGCATTTGGAACAGTGCCTGGCATATTAGTAAGTATTGTATAAATGTTTCTTAAACGAACTAACCAACTCACCATGAAACAAAAATGCAATGAAATGTAAAACCTGAATACAAGGAAATCAAAAGAGAGAAATTGAGTTTTAGCAAGACACTATCCCTTGCTTAAGATTCTGATGAGTTGGAGATCTAGTTTGTCTTTGTTTAAAAAGGGAGATTAAAGAGTACCAGAGAGAGGTGTTGAAGACATACTAGCATCAAACTGAGATTCTTCCCCCCCTCAACCCCGCCACCTCGCCAACATCAGAGGAGTCAAAGAAATTTGAAAAGGGTCTCACTCTCTCTCTAGGGGGTCCAGGGATATTTAAAACCATCTAAAACAAGCCACTCGCGTTCTGGGAAACATCAGCCTTGAATGATGAAGTCTTCAAGTCATCTCTGGTTTCCATGGCACTGAGTACAAAGGCCTCCCAGTCCCATGGCCCTTCCTGCCCTGAATTCATCCCTTCATGGGGCTTCCTGTTCAGCGGACTTCTGAGGGCAACAGCTGCTTACTCCCCAGGTGCACCCCGACCCACAGGGGTGCTTCCTGAGTGAAGGACAGAGGGTAACCTGCAGCCTCCTACAGAGCAGTAAAGAGCACCTGGCTTAGATCTGCCAGGTGCCAGCCATGTGACGCTGGGCAAGTTCCTGGCCTCTCTGATTCTGTTTTCTCATCTATATTGCAGGCATTAATGCATGAGTACGTATGAAGTCCTCCAGCACAGTCCTGGATGGGATAGAGCCCTAAAGAAGTGCTTATCCACAGGGCTCCAGTGCCTAGAAATGATTTCTGAGGTTGTGGTCATTCAGACTAAAAGTTGGCCAAATTTCAAGAGAGTCTGGGGATGTGGAGCAGACTCGGGGGAGGAAGTCAGATGGAAGCAGGTGCTATGGAGAATTCAAAGTGCTTAACTTCATAGTCAACGGGGAAATGCAAATGAAAACCGCAATAACATGCCATTTAAATTTTATCAGATTAGTAAAAACTGAAAGTCTGACAATATCACATGCTGCTGAGGACGTGGCGTAATGGGAACTCTCATTTATGGCTAGTGGAAATGTAAATTAATACAACTGGTCCGGAAAACAGTTTGGCATGGTCTAACAAACTTGAACAAGTATTTGCCCTAAGATCCAGCAATTTCACTGTGAAGTATACTACTGATGAAACGCTGGCACATGTGTACAAGAAGCCGAGGCAGAAATGTTTACAACAACATTGACTTAAATATTGAAAAACTGGAAACAACCTAAATCTCCGTCAGCAAGAGAATGGAAAGATAAACTATGGTGTAATCACCCAATGTGAAAATGAATCATAGCTTCACACAACAAAGCAAATGACTCTTACAGAAAAAACAAAAACAAAAAACCAACCAACCATAAAAAAAAAAAAGCAAACGACTCTTTCTGAAGAAATAGAAAAATAAGTTAGAAAAGAACACATGCATAATAACACTATCTATGTCACACTTTTGAGACACTTCAGTCGTGTCCGACTCTTTTTGATTCCTTGGACTGTAGCCTGCCAGGCTCCTCTGTCCATGGGATTCTCCAGGCAAGAATACTAGAGTGGGCTGCCATGCCCTCCTCCAGGGGATCTTCCCAACCCAGGGATCAAACCCCAGTCTCCTGCGGCTCCTGCATGGCAGGTGGATTTTTACTGCTGAGCTACTGGGAAAGCCCATGTGTCACACAGCACCATGTAAAGCAGCTCTATATATTGTCTGGCTGAATATCCATGTGTCCTGAATATACAGAAAAAACCCAAGGGGATGAGAAACATCAAACTTGGAAGAGTGTGAGCTAGGAGGGGATGTGATGAGGTGGGGGTCTTCAGGGGTCTCAACAGTTTGGTAAAACTGAGTGAATGGTGTTGAGTATATTTTCCTTTATACCTTTTTACATGTCCAAACTATTTCATAACATTTTAAATGTAAGTGAATTATAAAATAAAATATGAAAGGACACTTTCACTTCTGGCTATGATGAAGTAGTTGGTAACTGATTAACCCTCTTACTAAGAACAACTGCTAAGCAGGAGGTGGGGGGGGGAACTATTAGAAAGCATGAGAAAGCAACCAAGT